GACAACTATCATGTGTTTTCACTTATATGTGGAATCTAAAAAACAAAATGAATGAACAAACGTAACTAAACAAAAACAAAGTTATAGAAGCAGAGGAGAAGCAGCTGGCAGCCAGAGGGGAGAGGGTGAGAGAAGGAGTGAAACAGGTGATGGAGTCGAAGAGGCACGGACTCCCAGTCACAAAGTGAGTGAGCGACAGGGGTGACGCGCACCACGTGGGGAGCGGAGTCAGAGCTGGATGGAGGTAGTTGACAGGCACAGACTTTTAGTTATAAGATAAGTAAGTACCAGGGATACAGTGTACAATGTGATAAAAGTGTTAGCACTGCTGTATGCTATATATGATGGAGAAGGAAATGGCGACCCACTCCAGTATTCTTGCCTGGAAAATCTCTATGGACAGGGAAGCCTGGTGGGCTGCAGTCCATGGGGTTGCAAGAGTCGGACACGACTTAGCGACTAAACCACCACCACCATACTGTATATGAAGATTCTTAATAGAGCAAGTCCTAAGAGTTCTCATCACAAGGAAAATGTACACACACACACACACACGTTTCTACTTCTTTAATGTTGTGTCTATGAGAGGATGGATGTTCACGCAACATGAAAGTGAAAAGTGAATGAAAGTCACTCAGTCACTCTTTGCGACCCCGTGGACTATACAGTCATGGAGTTCTCCCGGCCAGAACACTGGAGTGGGGAGCCTTTCCCCTCCCCAGGGGATCTTCCCAACCCAGGGATCGAACCCAGGTCCCCCTCACTGCAGGCGGATTCTTTACCAGCTGAGCCACAAGGGAAGCCCACACACTCAACACGGTGGTCTTTGTTTCACTCAGCTTGTACGTCCAGCCTTCAAGCTGCACGCCTTAGGCTCCCACAGGGCTGTAGGTCAGTTATAGCTCCATAAAACCGGAAGAAAAAATGATAAAGCTGAGGCGCCTATGACTTCCCACAGAAGCAGCCTGCCCTTCTGTATGATTCTAAAGTCACTGTGAGAGTTTTAACCTATTTTAAGCTGCACCTCCAGGAGGGTGGACTTCCAAAGACCAGGGACTTGCCTCTTTGTTGGAGTGGGTGTTGCAGACCAGCCGTCAGTGAAGACTCGGCCACGTGCATCTCTGAACCTCGGACAGGCCGTCTGCGGTCACAGCTGACCCCCGGCCTTGCGCGCCCTGGGCTCTTGTCTCCCTGCCCTGTGACTCCAGAGGCCTTGGAGGAGGTGGCCAAGGAGGCTGAACCTGGCCGAGTCGCAGTGGCGGTGTTTTCAGGGTCCTAGGGGACACATGAAGAGTTGTCCTGACGGGTGCAGTCCGGAGTTGTTCCAGGGAGTCTGTGGAGGAGCGTGGGTTTTCTGGGGGTTCATGTGGCCCTGAGCTGCCAGGACTCAGGGGCATCCTGAGAAAGAAGCAGACCTCAGGGAGAGCCAGCTCCCTCTTGGGGGTGGGGACAGTGGCGGCCACAGCGGGGCTCCTCCAGGAACGAGGGCAGGCCTGCTCGCAGCCTGCTCTGTTCCCACTCGCCAGGCCTCAGACTCGCCCCGGGTGTGACCTGGAGCAGGGCCCTGGCTCCCAGGAGCACAGCTTCACGCCCATGAAGTGGAAGCAGCACTGCGTACACCTGGAGGCATCTCCGGAGAGCAAGGGGAGACTGCGGGCGGCATGCGGCACAGCGCCCGGCGTGAACACATGCTTGTGCACATGTGTGTGGGAGCTGGTCACCGCCCTTCCCCAGTCTCTCTGTCTTCTATTCACTCCTAACCTGGATGCGGACGTGGGACTCAGACCCTCAGGCTCTCAGCTCCATCCTCACAGAATCTCAGACTAAGGGGTGATTTGTAAGGACACTTGGTTTTATTTTATAAAGCATATATTTGCCAAAGGGCTTCCCTCATAGCTTAGTTGGTAAAGAGTCTGCCTGCAATGCAGGAGACCTGGGTTCAGTTCCTAGGTCAGGAAGATTCCCTGGAGAAGGAAATGGCCACTCACTGCAGTCTCTTGCCTGGAGAATCTCATGGACAGGGGAGCCTGGCGGGCTGCAGTCCATGGCGTTGCAAGAGTCGGACACGACTTAGCGACTAAACCCCACCATATTTGCCAAAGGCCCTCAGTAAGCGGACTCTGGCAATTAGCCTCTTGCTGTCGCTGTGATGAGGGACGGGGTCGGCTGCCTCGTCGCGTGCGCCGTGCCGTGCCCGCTGTGCGCACACCTGCCGGACTCGGCCACTGACTCGCGGGTAGCGACCCAGGGCGGCATAAGCTGATGACGCGCTTTGTGAGCGCGAGTCAGCAGACCCTCACACGACTTCCTGATAATGCCTCTGTGTTTCACAGAGGGAACGGCTGCTGAAATCCAGGTTAATTGCGCCCGCATTTAATAGGACCATGGCGTGTGTGTGTGGAGGGTGGATGGTCAGGGAGACACTCTGGAGTCTGCTCACCCCCTCCCCCGGTGCTGAGGTGACAGAGTTTCATCGGCTCCCTGAGCGGCTGTTTTGGTTGCATTTATCTGTATGATTATAAAAAGCACTTGGGCTTTCTCAAATGGCGCCGTGATAAAGAATCTGCTTGCCAGTGCAGGAGATACAGGAGATATGGGTTCGATCCTGGGTTGGGAAGATCCCCTGGAGAAGGGAACGGCAACCCACCCCAGCATTCTTGCCTGGAGAAATCCCATGGACAGAGGAGCCTGGTGGGCTGCTGTTCATGGGGTCACAAAGAGTGAGACATGACTGAGCAACTGAGCACGCATGCACGCATACGACGCTTACTTGGCAAAGCGATTTATGCCTCACGAGGTATATTCCTGGAGACTCCCTCATCCGATTCTCCGCAAACGCAGGCATTAGTACACAGAGGAATACTGCCCATGTCCTTTAGGAGTAAGGGAACCGAGGCTCAGAGAGATCAAGCCGCCCGCGGTCACCAAGCTGTCATCCGGCAGAACCAGGGCTCACGCCCGCGTCTTTGGACTTTGGACATGGGCTCTCTTCGCACCTGCGGGCGACACACGGGGAGGACGGGAGCTGCCCTCCGTCGGGCACCGCCTCCTCCCGGCCCGACCTCCCCCTCTGGAGCCCAGCCTGCAGCGTGCTTTGACCACTGTGACGACTTCCGCGTCTGGTGCCCCGTCCCCGTCATCTGCGGATATGTGCAGGAGTCCTGGTGCACCGCCTTGCTGTCCCAGGGCGTGTCCTGCAGCCTCGACACGCGTCCTCTGAGCCCAGTGACACGGACACGCTCCCTTCTTTGGCCTCTGACCCATCTAAGTGCTGCTCCACGAGACGCAGGCTGAGTTAATTACACCACAGTGTCTGCTCTCTTCTTGAGAAAGTTGTTTAACTTCTCCTAGCCCCTTTTTCCTCATCTTGAAGCAAGGCAGTAACACCCAGTCCTAGAGCTGTTGTGAGATGTAAAGCAAAGTCCACCCTTAAGCGACCTGGGACCATGCCCATCAGTGGTCACCTTTAGCTTGTCCTCCGGGTAGCATGCACTCTCACACGTGTTCTCTCTGGGAAAGGAAAGACTCCATGGTCAAAGGTCCACGTGCTGGCTGATCTCTGCCGTCCCTGCTCCGGGGGTCCCTCCGGGGGTGGTGATGCCTGTCTGTCTTTGTTGCGGAGGGAAGACAGCAGAGTGTGCAGGGAGAGTGGAGGCCCTCTGCAAATGGACACGCTCATCACTTGAACACTCCGGCTCCTTGGATGCTCTTGGACTCTGTGTTTTCCACTAACTGCATCTTTGCTCTTTCTTCACGATCATTAATAAAAGGGTAAACCCAAACCAAGGTTCTGTCAATGTGTCTGCCTCCAAGCCCCTAACAGCCATGCCCTGAAATCATTGTTGCTTTGATGCTAAGGCCAGTTCACAAGTCATTACACCGCATTTATTTCAGACACAGTTACAATCAGCTTCATGGAAACTCTGAAAGGTTAAATAACTGACACTTCATTAGAGTCTAAATATGCTTTATGTATGGTGATCTATCCCATTCCCAATGGAATGTGTCATTTGTCCAGCTTCATGGAGTGATGAGATGCTGCAACTAACTGAATTTTGCAGATAACTGATGTTTACCAATTTAGCAGCAAATTAAGTGGGCGCACACATGCACCATTTTGAATTTTAAATTGGGTTTCCCTGATAGCTCAGTTGGCAAAGAATCTGCCTGCAATGCAGGAGACCCCGGTTCAATTCCTGGGTTGGGAAGATCCACTGGAGAATTAAAAGAGTCCTAAAATGATTCCACATTTTTTTGTACACGGAATATGAGAAACGTGATTTAACCATTCATTGATGATGTCATAAACATCATGTATTCCATCCTATAAAGCGGCAATGCTCTCATTGGCAGATATGGAACTCTGTCTGACTGCTGTCCCCGCGCAGAACGGCCTTGACGTCTCAGGGTATCTTAGTCTTCGGTGGGGTCCATCTCTCTTCTCTCGTGACAGGCTGTTGGTGGTTTGGGGAGGGTGGATGTTTGGGGGGTGATTTCTTTTCTTTTAAAAAATAAGTAATATTTGCACATTTCTTTAGTGGAAATGTTTATTTTAAATTAAATAAGTGCCGATGGAGGCAGAGGTAACATGCTCTGGGAAGACAGAGGAAAGGTTTGGTGGTGGAGGAGACAGGCTCTGGGGAGAAGCACAGGGCTGGGAGGGGGGAGTCAGTAAAGAAGCCCTGCAGACCTCCCCGGTGGTCCAGGGGTTAAGGCTTCACCTTCCAGCGTGGGGGTGGGGATTCGGCGCCTGGCCAGGGAGTTAGGATCCCACAAGACTTATGGCCAAAATACCAAAACATTAAAGCAGAAGCAATATCGTAACAACTTCAGTAAAGACTTTAGAATGGGTCCACATGCAAAACGAAAAAGAAGACGCAGAAGAACCCCTGTCTCAGAGAATGACAGCGATGCTGGGAGAGGCGGAATCTCGGGCTGCACTCCAGACAGAGCGGTGTGATTAAGGGCAGGGTCCCGGTCCGGGTTTCAGAGCCGTGGCGATGAACCTGCATCCTGGCTCCCCCCTTAGACCTTGGAAATCCCACCAGCAGTTTTGGATCAACAGGTAACAAACTTGAAATAACTGAAAACAAATTTTGTTGAGTGTCTTCACACAAGACTGAGGATCAGAGATGAACCGCTGATGCTGACTGTGATAGGTGCAGGAACCGGGCTTGCGCCGGGGGTGGCGTCCATAAGGCGGGTGGTCTGTTGCTCACACGCCACGTGCCCTGCCCCTGCAGGTCAATGGAGGGTGGGGGTGCGCTCTCCACAGTCACTCAAGGTCCCAGGCTAAGGGAAAGGGGGCGTTTGTAGCTGCCCCTCCTCTAAGAAGACCATGCCACTTGTTTTCCCGATGGGGCTTACCTATCGCTGTTCAACAAATTGCTCCACGATTTTCGTGGCTTCCAGCAGCAGTTTAGGTTTCTCACGGTCTCTCCTGGGCTGGACGGTGGGGGTCCACATGTGCTGGGGATGCCGTGAGCTGGGGCGGAGCTCACGGGGCCTCACTCCGGCCGGTGTGCGGTGGTGGTTGTGTGTATTGAGTGGTGACCCGTTCCCCCTTCACCTGGCCTGTCTCCCTGGGGCGTGGGTGGCTTTGCGGCTTGGTGACCCAGCTCAGCATGAACGGGAGCGGAGAGTCCTAGAGTGCAGACCCCACACGGCGTCCCTTCTGCTGTGTCTGGTAGGTCAGACCTGGTAACACACCCAGGGCAGGATCAATGACCGAGAAACAGACCCGCCTCTCGAGGACAGCAGCCTCAGCATGTGTGGGTGGGCGCTGGGCTGATCTCCAGGTGCATCTGAGAGCCGCGCCTCGGCCGGGACTCCAGTGTGAACCCCGATGCGTCAGGGTCCCCCAAACCTTGCGACGCAGCCCCGGGGTCATCGCAGCAGTGGACACAGGGCCTTGGTTGGTGCTAAGCTTCCTGTGTCTCAGACCAGAAGTGGCCAGGACAGGACTCGGGTCCCCACACAGACGCAGAGGTCTCGTGAGCAGCCTCCGTTTGGTCTCACCCACGCTGAGGTCGTGGGTTCACGTGGTTTTGCCCGTTAATTTTCGGGCGGGACTGACAAGTTCCTTCAGGTAAAAGCAGCTTTGTGCGTGTGCTCTGCATGGCACCCAGCCCAGCCCTCTGCACGTGGGCTCCACGACACTCGGTTTAACTTGTTACTTCTCCTAGAGCGTGTTTGGTTGGCATCATGGTGCTCACAGAGCACTGGATGTGAACTGGAGTTTTGGATCAACTAGCTACTAATCATGCATTATTGGGCAATCACTTACCTCCTCTTAGCTTCAGTAATCTTATTTAGAAAGATGTATATAAACAATAAGGTCCTACAGTCTAGCGCAGGGAACTACATTCAGTATCCCATGATAAACCGTAATGGAAAGGAATATGAAGAGTGTGAAGATGGGGAAACAGTGGAAACAGGGGCTGACTTTACATTTTGGGGCTCCAAAATCATTGCAGATGGTGACTGCAGCCATGAAATTAAAAGATGCTTCCTCCTTGGAAGGAAAGTTATGACCAACCTAGACAGCATATTAGGAAGCAGAGACATTACTTTGCCAACAAAAGTCCATTTCCTCAAAGCTATGGTTTCTCCAGTGGTCATGTATGGACTTGAGAGTTGGACTATAAAGAAAGCTAAGCCCCGAAGAATTGATGCTTTTGAACTGTGGTGTTGGAGAAGACTCTTGAGAGTCCCTTGGACTGCAAGGAGATCCAACCAGTCCATCCTAAAGGAAATCAGTCCTGGGAGTTCATTGGAAGGACTGATGTTGAAGCTGAAACTCCAGTACTTTGGCCACTTGATGCAAAGAGCTGATTCACTGGAAAAGACCCTGATGCTGGGAAAGACTGAGGGCAGGAGGAGAAGGAGACGACAGAGGATGAGATGATTGGATGGCATCACCGACTCAATGGACATGAGTTTGAGTAAACTCCGGGAGTTGGTGATGGACAGGGAGGCCTGGCGTACTGCAGTCCATGGGGTTGCAAAGAGTCGGACATGACTGAGCGACTGAACTGAACTGAACTGATGAAGAGTGTATGTATGTGTAAAACTGAACCACTTTGTTGTATAGCAGTAATTAAAACATTATAAATTGACTACTTCAACAAAAAATAAATTAGAAAAATGTACATACCATCCCTACTCCTTAAACTTTTTTTGTGTGTGTGAAATAGGGTACGTCTCATGAAAATAGTTTGCAAACTTTAGAGTCCTACATGCATGTTTTTTTCATTATTTGATCAAGAGAAATCCAGTCTCTTAACCCTCGGAACGGTCAGCGTTGAGACTGCAGGTCCCTTGCACAGACTGAGACCCAGGTGGTCGGATGGAATGAAGTCTTTCAGGAATGGTGTCCATTGCAAAGGCTTTGTCTTTTGTTCAGAGGGACTCGGGGCCCCTGGGGGCTTGACTGTAGAGGGAGCCAGCCGTGGAGGATGGGGTGGGTGGGTGGGTGCAGGCGGGGGCTCCAGGGAGCCAACCCCTGTGAGGCCGGGGGTTCAGACAGGGGTGGGCCCAGAGGCGGTGAGGAGGGAGCACTCGGGGCAGGTTTGAGGGGTCCACCACACACCAGTCCCTGATGCCCTGGACTTCCTGAGCAGCTGGACATGGAGGAGGGGGATCCAGTAGGGGACACTCTGGGCCCGAAGTGTTTGTGGTGCTGCTGAGGGGACCCCCAAAGCCCTGCCAGGACAGGGGGCTGACCCCTGCCTGACCCCGCAGGCCATCCGTGGGGGGCCCCACCCTCCTGCGTGAGCCGAGCTGGAAGTGAGGGGCCCCCCAAGCATGCACCCCTCCTCTGGGCAGTGAGGGGAGCTCTGTGAGTGCTCACAGGGATGGCAGGAGGTTGGTGGAGACGGTGGATTGTGTGGTTTACAGGAACCAGGCCACAGCTCTTGTCGGTATGGAGGCCAGCTTTTAGGAAGGCTGCCAGGAGCCTGTGGCGGGGGCACTTTGAAGGTACTGGGGCGCACATAATTATGAGGCCCGTTTGGTCACACATGCAATCTTTGTGTGTGTGTGTGTGTCCCGGGGAGAGTAGAGAGGTCTCTAACTGTGCAGGCCTCTCGGCCTGGGAGTAGGTCTTGGTGTCCCAACCTCCCTATGGCCTCTTGTGCCCCGTGTCTGTGCTGGGGTTCGCTTGGGGAATTCCCCTGTGAAGACCGGCAGCTCTTTCTGGCATTTATGGATACACACTCCCTTCTTTCCGCTCCCTGAGAAGCAGGTGGTGTGTGCTGGGAGGGAAGTCTCCGCATCCACCCTGGAGCAGGGTCACCCCACTCTTCCCTTGTGACCCCTGTTAGCTTCCCTCCAGGAACCGAAATCACAGGATGGGAATCTTCCCCCGCGTCTCTCCTCATGCTCCCGGATTCTTCATAAACACCCCCAGCTGGGAGAGGAGATCCCTGGCGAGCCCCAGTCTCTAAGCTCTGCTCCTGATCTGAATCGGCGGTGCTGTGGGCAGTGCCCTGGGATGGAGGCTCAGAGGCCTCCGGACGCCTGTGGGCCTCTGTGCACAGGCTGGCCTGCCCCACCTGGGAGCCGGACTCAGGGGGCCCAGGGTGCCCCCCGAGCAGGCCTGGGGTGCAGGAGTGGCCGTGAGGAGGCGCAGAGATGGATGGGGCCGAAGCTTCTGGGCTGCGCTGAGCGGAGGGGAGGGGAGAGGCTCACGGCCTTGCCGCCCCATCTCCTGGGCTCCGCCCCTCCTCTGACACCTGGGTGACCCTTCTGTCGCCCCCGGAGGCCCGGACATCCTCGGAGGGCTGGGACGGTCCCGTGGTTGTGTCCTGCGGGGCCCCGGACGCACAGACGACGTGAGCTTAAGGAACGTTTGACCAAGGGCTCTCTCAGAAAGTGCGGGGACAGCGGGCGACCGTGGTTTGCCAACCCCAGGGCTGGTCACAGCACTTGGTCACCACGGCCAGGCCTGGAGAAACCGCGGGAAGGAGCCGGCATCACACCTGAGGGTCACGCGGGGCAGGCTGCCCGCAGGCAGGGGACAGTGACCACAGAGACCCTGCAGTGATGCCTCCAGGGGACACAGGCCCTCTTCTCACTCCTCTCCACCGTGTCTCCTGCCAGACTCAAGGAGAAGACTGGGAACACGGGACTCCATGACTGCCGTCCCTGCAGTCGGCCCTGTGGCAGAGAGCGGGCAGGGCTGGGGGGGGGTATGGGACGAGGATCCCCAGCTCAGAGCTGCTCGCACCGACTGCTTCTCCGTGACTTTCATAAACTGCACCTGCAAGTGGACACATCACGCTGCTGCTCCGGGGACCTCCGGGCTCAAAGGGCGCAGCGCGGAGAGAATGCGGCCCAGCGGCCCACGAGCCACGCCTTCCCCACGCTGGACCCTGCTGGGGGCATCCTGGGAGCTCCCCGGAGTGCAGGAGGGGGGCAGGCGGCTCCTGAAAGTCAGGCTCCCCGCACGGTACTCAGGGCGGGCCACCTTAACCCTGCACAGAGGAATGGGGCCCGGGACGCCCAGCGACGAGCCCGAGGCCACACGGCGAGCCAGCGGCCGGCTCGACCCCTGATCCAGTTCCGATTCTGTCAGTGTCTTTCCCTGCTCTGTACTGACGTTTCCTCCGCATGATTAAAAGCGGTAGGTATGTTAGAATCTGAGACACCTAGCAAGGGCAAGTGGTGCTGCTGAGGGAGGCAGCAGCCATGGCAACCGGGCTCCGGGCCCCCCCGGGGGCACCTGCTCCTCCAGGGTGGGGGGAGGAGGCTTCCTCAGGACATCATCTCAGGTCAGCAGGACCCACTCTCTTCCAGATTCCACGTGACTGTCCTTTGACAGGTGCGTCAGATGTCCACGGGTGTCCCCAGCCATCCCTCTCTTGGACGCCCGGGGCGGCTGGCAGGCAAATCAATTGCTGAGACCCAGAGCTGAGCTGACAGCTCCCAGCGAAGCCCCGGGGCTGCGGGCCTGGGCACCTGGGTCTGCTCAGCACAGAGCAACAGGCAGGCGCCGGGCGTGCTGTCAGCCAGGCAGGGAAAAGGGACAAGGCGCTGTGTCAGAAATGACACGCCGGCTTCCGCAGGCCTTGCGAGAGATGTCTGCGGTGATGTGAGTGCGGCTGACAGCCGGCGACGGAGCGGCTGCTTTCTGGGCTGGCTTGAAACACATCCAACCCCCTGCCTTCACAGCGATGACTTCCAATGCTAATTCTCGGCGAGCCAGGCATGAAATGTATTCACAGGCGCTACTCGCTGAGGGCCCTCTGGAGCTCTCCGAGGTACCTGTGATGGGAACATCTGTGCCACTTGCTTCTGTGCATTTCTGTTCCCTCGGTTTCAATTATGCAAAGAATCTCCGGGCAAGAAGGGGAGGCAGTGGTGGAGGGGGAAGAGAGGAGGAGGGAGGAGGGAGGAGGGGGAGAGGGGAGGGGAGGGGGAGGGGTGGGGGAAGGGGGGAGGGAGGCTGCCTTTGCAGCTCTCTTCCTCCCAGTAAGAGCCGCTGCCCGTCTGCTCAGATGTCCAACCAGGTGATGGAGAAGCAGAGAGGGGCACGCTTTCATCTTCGGCAGTGACACAGGAATGCACTCTGCTCGATGCAAATGAGGCTGCTCTCAGAGCGTTTCCCACGTCCTGCCAAGCTGCCCGGGCTCTCTCAGCCCTTCTTTCCGCCTGACAAGAAAAGGGCAAGATTACCAGCAGCACATCTGTGAGCATGAGTAACTGATAGGTGTGCCTGTGGTGCAGGGTTGGGAGGAGGACGCAGCTGGAGGAAGCCACGAGGCCCAGGGCTCTGTGTGCCTGCGTGTGCACGCGTGCACGTGTGCCTTCTCATTTAATCTCGTCTGTGTCCAAGCCCCCAGCCTCGAGAGGCGCCGCCTGTCTGTTTATTCTCTCGAGGGGAGGGTGGGCGCTGAGGGCGGCTCAGAGGAGGGCCCAGGGCCAGGCCCTGGGGGAGACGCGCTAGCAAGGGGCGCAGGCCCTAGTCTCACAGGAGCGGGGCCCATCGAGCCTTTCCCCTCCCGCCTCGGGGCTGCCCTCGTGTTGCTGAGCTGCTGGGCCACCCCTCTCCGGGGACCCAGGCACGGCTGAGGCACTGTTGGGCTCTGCGGTCCTGTCATCAGGTTGCAGAGTGAGCCACTGGCTTCACCATCTGCAGACAAGCCCCGACCACCCTCAGCTATCAAATTTAACAGCTTTGCAGATAATACCCTCGACCCCTGGAGCCGCCTGAGAGTCTAGTTACTGTGGGAAGGACAGAAAGGTCTGCTCCCTGTCGCTCCCTGGAGAGAACGGCTGCCAGCCGGACACAGAGAGGTGGAGGCCGTGGCACCGGGGGTCCTGGAACCCCTGGGTCTCCTTGCAGCCCCCATAGGTGGGGCAGGATGCATGGCCGTCCCGCTGCTGAGGGAGGAAGGGCTAAGCGTGTAGCCCCACGTGTGAGGGGCAGCATGGACTGAGCCCCGGGTGCTGCCCCCAGACCACATGTGCCCCCACCCTGCCCTCTACCCATGGGAGCCTGTTCTCCATGCAGCTGGCCAGCTTCCGTCTGCCCCCTCGTCCACCGGCTCTGCACCCGCGTATCGAGCATCCGCCCCCGTGGCCTCTGGCTTCTGACCCCGTCCACCGGTGGGCAGCTCCACGAGGGCTCACGGCCGGGAGCGAGGCTGCGGTGTTGGCGCCTCCCCGCCGGGTTTCCACAGTCTGTGCTCCAAGCTCAGGGCCCAGCCCCAGGCAGCCGTCTCGTAACCCCGAGTCGCTCCTGCAGCTGCTATGACGCACGAACACAAGCTCATCTCAGCCTCTGGAGGCCGCAAGTGTCGGCAGGGCTGTGTCCTCCCCGGGGTGTGGGGGAGGGCCCGGACCCTGCTTTTCCAGCCTCCAGAGAGGCCTGCATCCCTTGGCTCATGGCCCCTGCCTCCATCATCCAAGCCAGACGTGTCTCCAGACTCCCCACTCGCCCTCTGCCTCCTGCCTCCGCCTCCGTCCTTACCTCTCCTTCCTGGACTCTGATCCACGTGCCTCCCCATCAGGAGGGCCCCGTGGCGACCCTGGGGAACCCCATCAGGAGGGCCCCGTGGCGACCCTGGGGAACCCAGACTCTCCTCCCACCTCAAGACCCTCAGTGCACTCCCACCAGCCCAGCGCCCTTGGCCACATGAGGTTTCACGCTCACGGGTTCGGGGGACCAGGATGTGGGCGCCCCAGGGACTTTCCTGCGCCCGCCCCATCCCCACGCTGCTCACCGCCTGATGCGCGCCCAGCTCCCGGCTCTCCGCCCAGGCCTTGGGAACTGAGCTGCTCAGCAGAGGCTTCTCGAGGCCTGGCTTCTGCTGTTCTGGCGGCTCCTCCTCCTTCCAGCCCACTAGGGACCCACAGCATCTTCCTATCAGAGTTCAGGTCCAGAGCCCAGACACTCAGCGTAGCTTCCTGTTCAGAGTCACTCAAGGGCTCCCCCAGGCAGGCGCCCACCCGCCGCCCGAAGCCCGTTCCTGAGGACCTCAGAGCACAGTGCAGAC